GAGCCCCGGCTGCGGGCTCCGGGGTGTCTGCTGTGGCGCGAACCTCTTTTCCTCCTCCTTCCCCCGTCTAGTGAAGGGCTCCCGTTTGATTTGCCTTCTCCGCCAAAGCGGAGCGGCTCTGGATGAAACGTTCCCACAGGTAGCTTTTCTTCTGCGAGGCTAAAGAGCAGGGAAGCCTCCCTAATGTGCAGCTGAGCCGGGTGCGGAGTTTTCTAATCCTTACCTAATCCCCGTGAGAGATCAATGCAACAAATCAATCGTGGCCTCCTCAAGGGCTCCCTCGCCCCGCCGTCGAGGAGCAATTTAGCCGGCACCCAGCCACCAAGCACCCAGGCTGGTAAAAGCCCTGCGGCCAGGTTTCGGCTCTCACCTGCAGGTAACCCGGCCAAATGCAGAGCGGGGCGTCCAGCAACACCGCCACCCCTCCTCGCCTGCAGCTCACCCAGGCAGTGGACCCTCTGGGACAGGCCCTCGCTGAGCAACTGGGTGCGTTTCCTGGTTTATGTAGCCAAAATAAGTCACTGCGGGTAGCTGTGGCACGGTAGCATAGCCACAGCACGGGTAGGCCCGTGGAGCCAGTGGTGCGCGTGTCACTCGCGTGCTCTTTGGGAAATGTTTCCCTAGGTTGTAATTGTTCCTGGCTGCTAGTCTCTGGTGCTGGCATACAGTGGCCCCGCTGTAGAAGTAATGAAAATGCAGTTTTCCCATGCTTTTAATGTGGAACTGTGTTGAGAAATGAAACTCATTAGCAGTTAATGTTTCTGGTGCATAAAGGAGGTGGCCTTGGAGAAGTGGATGTGCTGTTTAGCAGAAAGCCTTATTGTGAGAAAGGGGATGCACGATGAAATGTAACCTCTCATCATCTACATTTCCCTACGTGGAAAGTGAACGCGTAGCAGTGAACAAGGAAAAGCCAGTGCACGGGTCATTCCCATTAAACATCAGTATGGTAGGCAAGGGACTGAGCAAGAGAGGAGCTGAAAGGGCAAAGTTATTATTTTTGGACAAATGTAAAAATCTGCAAGTTGAAGTAGTTATGCTTTTACAGCAAAGACTCTTTTTTGAGATAAAAGCTATTCTATAATTGTCACAAAATTTAGAAGAACATCAGTGTGACTCCATTTTTTCACTGAGTTCTCACTTTGTATTAGTAGCTTCTTGAAAACAGGAGGCTGTCCTGTGACCACTCAAAACGTCTGCATATTTACAAATGTTGGTCTGGTCCTGAAACACTGTAAAGCTGAGCCTTACCTCATGCAAAACATCGTACTGGATTCAACAGGGAATGATTACATGACTAAGAACTGCTAACAGCAGTTATGGCTTCCCCTTAGAAACTTAATGTTTCTCTAGGATGCCTAGTACCAAAATTAAAAACCGTGATTTGAGAGAGATTTGTTTTGACAAATATTTTTAATTTCTTCAATGTCTGTAGCAACAACTTACTTCTTAGCAACCCTAGATATGTTTTACTCCTGCTG